TACAGGGTCTCACTACACAGATCGGACTCGTAGTGATCCTCCTGTTTTCAGCCTCCCAAGTGTTGGGATTACAGGTGTGCGCCACCACACCCAGTCTCACTCACGGTCTCAGTGTGCCCTGGGGGTGGGGCTGGCATGGCACACCAGGGATCGAACCCCAGCCACTGTGTTCTGCCTAAGCGGGTGCTTTAGTCTTCTGGGCTATCTGGCCAGCCCTACATTTATTAAAGGAAGGAAAAGAAGTGTGTTCCATAGGGCGCGTGGGCTTGTGCACCCAGGCCGAGGTCCACAGCCGCTGCAACAGAACTTTGGTAACCCAGCCAGAGTGCTTTGGGATCTCTGTCTGGAATCTAACCCAAGAGCCTGCTTCTTCAGCCTTCCCACCATTTCTGTGGCTATCTCTGCACTTAATGTGGCTGGTGTGGAGGCTGTGGTCAGAGCTAAGAACCTGCACCTGTGCCAGGACTGGCTACTTGGTAGGTGCCGCTGATGTGACCCAAGCAGCACACAGCCCTGAAGGAGCCCACAAAGTTGTGGCGAGGAAAGCTTGGGCCAACCGAGTGTACAGCAAGGGCATTTACTCTTCTTGGTACTAAGGATCGAACTGAGGGCCTTTGCACTGAGCTACAGCCATGTTTCAAGGCAGGGTCTCATTAGGTGGCCAAGGTGCCCAGGCTGCATTTGAACTGTTGATTCTCCTGCCTCTGCCTCTCAGAGTACAATTGTGCGTCACCACACCCAGCCCTCATGACATCTCCTGCACTTGCCCCTCACATCCATTATCATTCCAGGAAAGTCATTCCACACCTGGCACTTGTGTTCTCCCTGGTTTTCCCACTCTCTTGCTGGCTTTGTAACCCAATAGAATCAGAGCCCAACTCAGAGCAGGAGCTCTGAAGATGCCACACCCTGCTTGGCTCTCTCCAGCCTTGCTTTCCTGGTCTCCCTGTAGGGTGGAACAACAAGGATCCCCGCCCGCCCCACTGCCATAGCTCTGGTCACTCCTGCCCCCATGAAGCTGGACCTCAACCCCTTAGCTGTCACCAACCTCTTCGGAGAACACGCAGTACCCTCTGGCTCCCACAGTCCTTCCTGCTCTAAAGGCCCTCCCACCTCACTTCTGGAGGAAGCCACTCTTTCCTGCCTGCCCAAGGCCACACATGTCCCTAGTTGGGATTTTCATGCCTGTCTTCCTCACTTCTTCTTTTTTTTTGCGGAACCAGGGATTGAACTCAGGCCCTTGCGCTTCACAGGGAAGCGCTTATTCTACTGAGCCATCTCCCTGGTCCCTTTTTTTTTTTTTTTTTTTCCCATTGGTAGTTTTTGTGGAACTGGGGTTTGAACTCAGGCCCTTGCACTTGCCAGCCAAGCACTTATTCTACTGAGCCATCTCTCAGGCTCCTCACTTCTTTATTGTCAGGTGACATCTTCTACTGGTCATTACTGAACCCATCCTACCTTTCCAACCAGACTGCTACCCCTAAGGCAAGAAATATGTTTTATATTGCATTTCTTCTTTGGTCTTTACCCCACAATTCTTTTTCTATGCTTTTTGCCCTCTCTACTCTGTGCTGGGGACCCAGTGGCATCTGTGACTTAGGCTCTATGTTCACCAGCTGGGTGGGGCCCTCATTTCACATCTGCACTGACTACTCCTTGCCTGTTCCCAGAGCATCCTGCATCCCTTGCAAAACAGGTTTCCCCTGCTTCCACGTGAATGTCATCTTGCGCTCAAACACGCCTGCCACCCCTTGGCCTTCTAGACTCCTTCACACAACGATAGCTTTCAGGCATGACCTTTTTTGTTTAGTTCTGGAAACTGAGGTATGGAGCAGACCAGTCAAGCCCAGGACATACCTGAAGAATCTGCACTAGCACAGACTCAGCCCTGTTCCTATTCCTGGACAGCAATCAGCAGCAGATGCCTTTCCCACCACTGGATGCTCTGCTCCCTGGCCTTAGGATGTGCAGTGCCCTTTTCAGCTCTTTTATTTATTTATTTATTTATT